ACTGATATGGAAAGGAGTCAATGTTATATTGCAAAGTATAAAATTCACATTTCAGATTATCAGTTCCATAATGCCAAGTAAGTAGATCTAAGAGTCAATGATGTTTTCAAGTTTGACTCAGAACTCCGTATTAAAATTTTTAATGAAATATGTATTTGTCTACGTTTTAACCTTTCAGTTTAAAAAAACACAGATAAATTTTCGACCTCAATTCGTGTTTGCTAAGGGTTCTAATAAGCAACGCCTTCCAATTTCACCATTCTGAAATTGGGCTGCATGTAACTTGAGCCATTGAAGCTGTCCCGCCCCCAGCTCCCTGCGCTTGCGCAAACGTGGCGGTCGCCGTTCCTATCTGAGGGGTTGTGAGCCTTGTTGTGACGTCTGTTGAGTTTCAAAGCCTTTTAAAGATGTCTTCCGAAAAGTTGTGTGACCAGTGAGAAGGAGAGAGAGTGCGGGAGCAGCGCGGGAGCAGCGCGGGAGCAGCCCGGGGCCCTGGGGATCCGAAGGCCCCATCCACACACTTCCCGCGCCCGGGCCAACGCGGGTCGGATAGGAGATGCGCTACTTCTGAACGACCCGGCTGCGGCCATCCTGGCTGGTCCTGTGGCGGCCGCAGAAGCAGCTCAACTTCCGGGGCCTCGGGAATGCAGGAAGGAAAGCCACCCCTGCGACAGGGCGGGAGCCCCGGGCCCTGGGCTTGCGCCCCGAAGGCAGCAGCACATCGCCCTGGACGCCCAGAACACCGGGCTTTGCCCAGAGGGCTCTTCCAAGGCTGGATGCCTTGGGCTCTTTGGTTAACTCCAATTAAATGAGCTATGAATTCTGGTATCTGTTGTCACATCTAGTAAATACGCTGTTTGCTTGACACTGAAGCCTGTGAATTAACAGAAAATGCAAAGCCTTTAAGGAACTGGTCAGGATGTCTACACCACCCTTTGCTGGCTGTCCTTTACAATTCTAGGTCCTACCTGCCCGGATACCTTCATTGCCTTTCTGGATCACAAAGTCCTTTTGCATTTGATTAGATTAATGTTAACCCTCCATGGCCCAGGCATAACATACTTTAACTTAAACAGTAAAATGAATTCCTGTAGTCTAGGTAGGATTCTCATAAGTTACTGCTATTTAAGAAGTTTGTGTTTCCTATTTGGTATAAACAAATACACATCAGGAGTTTCACAAATAATAATTAGTACTTAAGTATCATCTACCATAAATGCTGAGCTAAATGGAATTTGGAAATCAAACCTGAGCTTGGGCTTTTCGTGTTTGCTAAGGGTTCTAATAAGCAACGCCTTCCAATTTCACCATTCTGAAATTGGGCTGCATGTAACTTGAGCCATTGAAGCTGTCCCGCCCCCAGCTCCCTGCGCTTGCGCAAACGTGGCGGTCGCCGTTCCTATCTGAGGGGTTGTGAGCCTTGTTGTGACGTCTGTTGAGTTTCAAAGCCTTTTAAAGATGTCTTCCGAAAAGTTGTGTGACCAGTGAGAAGGAGAGAGAGTGCGGGAGCAGCGCGGGAGCAGCGCGGGAGCAGCCCGGGGCCCTGGGGATCCGAAGGCCCCATCCACACACTTCCCGCGCCCGGGCCAACGCGGGTCGGATAGGAGATGCGCTACTTCTGAACGACCCGGCTGCGGCCATCCTGGCTGGTCCTGTGGCGGCCGCAGAAGCAGCTCAACTTCCGGGGCCTCGGGAATGCAGGAAGGAAAGCCACCCCTGCGACAGGGCGGGAGCCCCGGGCCCTGGGCTTGCGCCCCGAAGGCAGCAGCACATCGCCCTGGACGCCCAGAACACCGGGCTTTGCCCAGAGGGCTCTTCCAAGGCTGGATGCCTTGGGCTCTTTGGTTAACTCCAATTAAATGAGCTATGAATTCTGGTATCTGTTGTCACATCTAGTAAATACGCTGTTTGCTTGACACTGAAGCCTGTGAATTAACAGAAAATGCAAAGCCTTTAAGGAACTGGTCAGGATGTCTACACCACCCTTTGCTGGCTGTCCTTTACAATTCTAGGTCCTACCTGCCCGGATACCTTCATTGCCTTTCTGGATCACAAAGTCCTTTTGCATTTGATTAGATTAATGTTAACCCTCCATGGCCCAGGCATAACATACTTTAACTTAAACAGTAAAATGAATTCCTGTAGTCTAGGTAGGATTCTCATAAGTTACTGCTATTTAAGAAGTTTGTGTTTCCTATTTGGTATAAACAAATACACATCAGGAGTTTCACAAATAATAATTAGTACTTAAGTATCATCTACCATAAATGCTGAGCTAAATGGAATTTGGAAATCAAACCTGAGCTTGGGCTTTTTTTCCACCTTTTCCAGCTGAAGAAACTGAGGCGGTGAGACAGTAAGAATTCCCTGCCGTATGGCCCTGAGCTCTTGGCACTTTACCACCTTGCTCAGGCTTTATCCACTTATATACATGTAGAGCCAAACTCAGCATTAAAAATTAAGTTAAACAAAATTAATTAAGTATATTTCTTAGTAACAGAAATATAGCTGGTCTCCCAGCATGTCAAAGTTCGACTTAAAAATTTCCACTACAATTTTTTAACTTTACAATGATGTGACTGCCATATGCATCCAATAAATCTTTCCTGAACTAAGGATGTGCTGTTCCACAGTCATGAGAACGAGTCTATGACGTTTGATAGGTAAAGCATAGTAAATACATTTTCTACTTAGTGATCTTTTCAGCCTATTGAATTTATCAGGATATAGCCCCATTCTAAGTTGAGGAACATTTATATTTTAAGATGACTATGAAAGGAAACAAATAGTGACTAGCAGACATTCAATTAGGAAACTTGTGAGTAGGTTGGTAGATGATGGATGTAATCAACTTGAGATTTGTGTATACACAATGAGTCAGTGACTAATATCTTGTATTTGTGTAAACACAATTAAACTATAGAAATGAATTATTTATGAGATTGTCTTAAAAATAAAGATTACAAAATAATGTCACATCATCATACATTTGGTGTGATAGCTAGAGGTTTAAGTTAAACTACAATTCACAATTTTAGAGCCCTGAATTATAATTCCAACTATGTGTTAGCTATTGAATGAATTTTGCACTGTAATTTCAGTCCCTTTTAATTTTTCCATGTTCACTGTTTTCTTTTTATATTTGGGGTTTGGCACAATTGCACAGAATGGAGTTTCTATTAAAATATTCCATAGTGCCAGCGTGGTAGTACATGCCTTTAATCCCAGCACTTGGGAGGTAGAGGCAGATGAATCTCTGAGATCGAGGCCAGCGTGGTCTACATAGTGAGACCCTGTCTCAGAAAAACCTTCCATAGCTTACATTTTTAAGATTTTTGTTCTGTTAATCTGTTCTGAACTCCCAACTCTTATTTCCCCCAAATGTTTATTTTAATAATTATTATCCTAATTTCTTACGTAAAAATACAAACAAGTTAAATATGATAGACCAAGTCGCATCGTTAATGTTAAGTTGAAATCTAGAGATGTATCAACTTCAAATTGTTGATATAAATGGTTCCTATTTATTAATTTACCTTCTCAGAACCTGCACACTTCAGGAGCATACAGCTGCTACCACAAAACAAGTGATTACCAATCACCCATGTGCAAAACAAAACTAACGTTTGGCTAAAAATGGCTTTGGGGAATTTTCCAATAAATAGGGTAAGACTTTTGGTCTTTTTCTCCAAAGCTATAACATGAAAATTAATGTTTTATCATAAAAATCAGGAAAGATGTATTTGTGGTTTAATTTCAGCATCTGATTTTCTAAATTATGGACAGGTTTCAGTGAGTCTGTGCCATTTCTATTTTCTTTGGGTTTTCCTACAATTTTCCCATGCTTGCTCTGGTCATCTCAATCACTTTTGGGTTTTTATTGTTGTTGTTGTTGTTGTTGTTGTTGTCTCTCTCTCCAACTCTGCTTTAAAACTTCTGTAACTCATTTGCTGTGAGGTCTTGCAAGTGAGCTTACCGGGTGGCCTGAACTCCTTTGGACAGGAAGGGCCGGTTAGGAAGTCAGTGTGCTGCTAAGAACTTCAGCTAACTTGCTTTATAAACCAAATAGAGTATCAGAGAATTCTCCCTTCTGATGAACCTGGGAGGTGTGTGTTTTGACTTGTATCAGTGACTCTATTGATTACCTTAAAGTTACATTACTTAATTTATATGGAGGTTGCACCTAATTATCCTAGTAAGTGGTTCAACAAATGTCTGCTGTTTGTTTCAACTCTTGCAGTCAATAACTGCTGGAAGTGATTTGATACAGCTGGAGACTCCACTAACCATCATCATAGCTTGAAACTGTGCAACAATTTCATTGTACTGTGTCATCTCTTCAGCCTAAGCACTGATAATGCTCATCAGATGGTACTTGAAAAAAAAATCTTTTATTATAATTAAAGAAATGGGTAAAAGAAGGCAAGTTCTGGGGTAAGCCAGTGCTGTTCAATGTGTGAGGTTGTTTTGATAAGAATTCACTTTAAGTGTGGAAGGGCAATGCTGTAGTCTAAAGGGTCTGCTGTACCTCAGTCAGCATTGCCCCTCATCTGATAAAAGCCGTTGCTAACTGACAGCACAGATGCGGCTCATTTGGAGAAAACCAGAAAGGAGAGAAAAGGGCTGAAGAGAAAACAGGGCTCGTCAGCCATGCTACCAAGCTCGGGTGGCTGTTCCAGGTCTTTTCATTCTCCCAGGCGTTGCTGGTGCCTGTGCCCTCGCAGTGTGTGATGCCATCGCCTCTAGCCCTGTGCCGCTACCTCCCTGGCGAGCTGTCCCCGTCGGTGGACTCGCGGCCCTGCAGCAGCCCCTCGGTGGTCCCAGGGAAGGCGGGGAAGCTCTTCCTGGGGGTCACTCCTCCTCGGGCCCCACGGCTGCCACGCCGGCTGGCCTGGTGCTCCATTGACTGGGAACAGGTGTGCCTGCTGCACCGGCTGGGAGCCGGAGGGTTTGGCTCCGTGTACAAAGCCACCTACCATGGTATTCCCGTGGCCATCAAGCAAGTTAACAAATGCACCAAGAACCTAGGCGCATCCCAGCGGAGTTTCTGGGCTGAGCTCAACATTGCAAGGCTGCGCCACGACAACATAGTACGAGTGGTGGCTGCCAGCACGCGCACGCCGGAGGGCTCCAACAGCCTAGGCACCATCATCATGGAGTTTGGGGGCAATGTGACTTTACACCAAGTCATCTACGGTGCTACCCTCTCCCCCGAGGAGGCGGCGGCAGGAGAGCCTTCCCGCTGCAGCGCAGAGCAGTTAAGTTTGGGGAAATGTCTCAAGTATTCCCTGGACATTGTGAGCGGCCTGCTTTTCCTTCACTCCCAAAGCATTGTGCACTTGGATCTGAAGCCGGCGAACATTTTGATCAGTGAGCTCGATGTCTGTAAAATCGGTGACTTTGGATGCTCCGAGAAGCTGGAAGACGTGCGGAGCTTCCAGGCTCCCGCTCATCACGTAGGGGGCACGTACACCCACCGAGCCCCGGAGCTCCTGAAAGGCGAGACCGCCACGCCCAAAGCCGACATCTACTCTTTCGCCATCACTCTCTGGCAAATGACCACCAGGGAGGTGCCGTACTCCGGCGAGCCGCAGTACGTGCTGTACGCGGTGGTGGCCTACAATCTGCGCCCGTCCCTGGCGGGGCCCGTATTCACGGCCTCGCTGGCCGGGCGGACGCTGCAAAGCATCATTCGGCGCTGCTGGGAGGCCAGCGCTCTGCTGAGGCCGAGCGCAGACCAGCTCCGGCTGGACCTGGACGCTCTAAAAGCCGTCCTGGGCTGACTCCAGACTGTATCGAGATAAGCCTTTGTCCTTGTTTCTGTTTATTTTTAAAGAAGTGACGACGATGTGAAAGAAAATATTTGTAGGGCAAGTTTTTAGAAAATAAAGTTTCTGAGAACTCGTTCAGTCTGAAATGCTTCCTTAGTCAACTAGCAGAGCAAGCCTCACGGTGTCTGGTTAGCAGCTGACCTTCAGTCCTTCATAGTAAATGTGCCTCGGTTTTCTGGGCTCCTGGGCTTACTGTAAACATTTCTGCAGCGTCTTACTCAGACATACTATTGATATTGCAGACATACCAGATTCAGCTATAAATTGTCACGTGACTCATCCCTACTGCATAAATTGAAGATACAGTTTACATCCAAACCATCATCAGCAAAAACCAACAGAAAAATGGCTTAAAAGATTGTCTTTTTTCTATTCCTCTAAGAAAAGTATTGATTAGTGAACATCCTTCACACAAAATTTACAAATTGAAGTCAATTTGTTTTTAAAACAATAATGTTCTAAATGATTTGTTTAAATTTGAAGATTGTCTGGTCTAGAAAGATGACTCAGCAGTTAAGAGCACTGGCTATTGCAGAGGTCTCAAGTTTGGGTCCCAGTACCATGGTGACTAACAACCATTTGCAACTCCAGTTCCAGGGGATCTGATGCCCTTTTCTGGTCGCCAAATGGCATTGCATGACATGGCTACACTTACATACATGGAGGCAAATACACTCATACACATAAAATCTTTAACAGAATTTGAACACTGTCATGAGTAGAAAAGTTGCTGAAATATGGGACTGGAGAGATGGCTCAGTGGTTAAGGGTGGGGCCACTCTTGCTCAGGACCTGGGTTCACAACCTTCTAGAACAGCAATTCCAGGGGAATCCAACGCCCTCTCTGACCTCCATGGGCATTGCACCACATGGGTGCACTTAGGCACACACAGGCAAATACATTCATACACATAAAAATAACAAAATATTTTTAAGAGTTGCTGAAATACTTCTATATTGGATGTCTTGTAATTGGGCTCAAAAGTAGAATGCAAAATAAAGATGTGGTTGGTGCAAGAGGGAAATGAGAGCCCCAATGAACCCTGAAATCTAACATTTCATGTGTAGAAGACCAGTGGTATTGAACTGCTCATTGTAGAAGTCAAGACAATGGGTGATGTAGATGGGATTCAGGACAATATTGCTATTAGTGGGGATCACAGAAGGAAGCACCTGGATTCCTCCTTGAGACACCTTGGCTGTCTCTTAGTGACAGCAGTGGCAATGTGTGGCAGGAAGTCAGGCAAGCACAGTGGCAGGAAGAGTTTCCAGCAAGAGCTTAAGGTGGAGGCTGTGTGCCAACTGGGCAAGAAAGGAGGGGCAGAACATTGGAAGGAGGCAAGAGACAGAAATGTGTTTGGCGGTTTGGTTTTTGGTTCTGTTTTAGGATGAAGGAGGTAAGTTTATAAGTAGAAGAAAGTAGAGAAGACTAAGGTAATTGATGGACTTTTAAAACTCAGGCTTGATGAAAGGAGCTATGGAAAGACTGTAGTCTTGAAGAGATGGGGCGTCTCTTCCCAGGATGAGAACCGAGGAGGGAGTACAATGGCCAGCAGAGAGAAATAGGAAAAGGAACTGGGGAGCACACAGCTGAGTATTTTTTCTGAATAGAGTGTTGACGGTTTGGGGTGTGCAGAGTGAAATTCTCATTTAGAATTGTTCTTGAGGGAAGCAAAGTGGAGCTGTGTAAGCCAGGTAACCTCGACAGAGTGCTGCTCACTCTTTCCAGACAGCCACAGGCCAATAAACACATCTCCAGCTTATGACGGTTTGTCTTCTGAGTTGCAGCTTTGCAGTGGTCTGATAGTAATAGGCAACTGGTAGAAACTATTCTTTGGGTTTTGAATGTGCATCTTTTTCAGAGCTAGCAGTAAGTGACTGAATCCCAATCTCAGTGCCAGGCAGCAACAGCAAGTCACAGCTCCCAGCCACAGCCTAGCAGTCAGGAGAAAACAAGCTCAACAGTGCACTGTGCTCCAGTGTTCTCTGGTTACAGATGGAGCTGACTGTCTGCACTTGTGGAGTTCCACATCTGAGCATTTAACTGATCACAGATCAACAAATGCTCAGAGAAAAAAATGTACTAAACTTGTCCAAACTTTTCCCTTATCATTCTCAAAACAACATAGTATGACCAATATTTACACATCACTTCCATTTATTGGGTATTATTAAATGATCTACAAATAAAGGTAAACAGGGGCATATGCGTAGGTTGTATGCCAATGCTGCACTGTCTTATCTAAGCGACCAGTGTGAGTCCTGGACCCCATACTCAGAGAATACTGAGAAAAAACTGTATTCAACAAATGTGTGAGAGAGTTGATATTTTGTTATAAAATAAATTTTGCTAGGTTAGATGATTGATTTTTCCAGACTAAAGGTCATTGTAAGTATCTGAGCCTGCTTACTAAGTACATTTTCAGCATATTTTCAATTTATGATGACCTTAATGAAGCTAAGGCCACTGTAAGTTGCAGAGCATCTATAATTCCCTCCTCAGGGATATATTTCAGGTATAGTGGTTTCAATCCCCAGAAATGCAAAATCAATTATTTTAAAATGTATTTCTTTCTGTTTATTTTATCAAAAAAAAATAATGTTGGCAAGTTTTAAATGGAGTAAGTTTTAAAAAGTTACAATGAGTCTGTTTCCACGAAGTGCATTAAAATATAATTCTAACTATATTGAATGTCTCACGGTCAGACTGCCAGTGAGCTACCTAGGGGAATCATTTTAAAGACATGAAAACCCAAAACTGACTTCCAGAATGGAGATGGCCACAGCTGAGGATCAAATGTCTATTGAAAACCACACCAAGCGACAACGTGAATACAGGAGAGTCAACTCTATACATTCCATAATGCACGAGCCTTAAGAAACACAGAGAAAAAATCCCAGAATTAACTGATATCCAAAAACCTGACTGAGCTAATGGGAAAAGTACCGGGGGTAAACAGGAATGTCAGTGGTAGAAGGGAAGCACCATTGATAGGTCCTAAACACACACCTGCAGACAGACACACTACAGAATCAAAGCCCTCTGGGAAATGCAAAACTGTGTGTTGGAGTAGGGGGTGGGGAGGACTCTTGAGAACCAGGCTTGGAGCAGAGCAGAGCTTCCAAGGGTTGGTAGAAGAAGAAGGAAGAGAAGCTCTTACAGATCCCAGCCACCACAGAGCTCAGACAGTGGCAGCAAAACAGTCCTGGACATGAGAGGTGTGATTACCCTGGGAGTAGGGCAGGAACACAAGAGAGGCTCACAGGCCTCCTGGTTTGCTTTGAGAGAGAAAAAACTGTGGCTGCGAAGAGAAACCCACAGAAATGCCATGTTTGAAGGGAAAGAGCAGATGAAGGAAGTCTTTGAGTTGTAGGAAGACCACCCTGACAGGAGCTTCAGTGAGTGTCTGGGTCACTCCATCTCTCGTCACCCAGTCAAATGACATGACTCAAGACTGACAAATCAGCGCACCATATTCAGCATCACAAGATTATGAAAGATGAGACTGAGTTAAACTGTGGTAGAGAAGAGATACAACCTGTCAATGATATACCTATAGAAGTAGCAAATAGATATATCCTAGGGGTAAGGAAATTATAAACAGGCAAATAGTAACAAAATTACAACTGGTGCCCCAAATAAATAAAGACATAGACAAAATCCAAATTTTATCAAAATTAGAAAAGACCCATTTATCTGGAAAGCTAGAACTATGTTTTTATTACATTTATTTGGGGGGGGTGAATGTGTGCTCTGTGGAGATGAGAGGATAATTTGTGGGAGTTGGTTCCCTCCTTCCACCATATAGCCCTGGAGATCAAATCCAGGCCATCAGGCTTAGGGGCAAGCACCTTTACAACCTGAGCCATCTCACCCGCCTGAAAGTTTTTCTTTTTTAAAACCATTTGTTTATTTGCTTGCTTGTTTGTGTGTGTGTGTGTGTGTGTGTGTGTACAAGTATGTGCCATGGCACATGTATATAGGTCAGAGGATGACTTGCAGGAGGAAGTCAGTTCTCTCCTTCTACCTTTATGTGGGTTCCAGGGATGAAACTCAGGTTGGCAAACTTGGCAGCAAGCGCCCTTATTTGCTGAGCCATCTTGCTGGCACTTAGAACTCTTAAGCAACTATGTGCTAAAAGAAGACAGTAATTAAAATGGCAGGAATTCTTTTTTCTATGCTTTTTTTTTACTTTTTTGAGAATTTCATAGATGAGTACTGTAGTTACATCATTTCTACCCTCCCTCTCCCCTTCCAACTGTTCTCACACACATCCCCATTCACTCTCAATTTCATGACCTCTTCTTTAATTATCGTTGTTACACACAGACACAAACACAGCCACACACACACACACACAAAACCTACTGAGTCCATTTAGTGTTGCTTGTATGTCCACGTGTTTAGGGCTGACCACTTGGGATTGGATAACCCATCAGGGAGCTCGTCCCTGGAGAAGACCGATTCTCCCTCTCTCAGGAGCCATTGATTGCTTGAAGCATTTCATCTAGACTTGGGACCTTCTGAAATTTTCCCCATCCACACCAGCAGGTCACCTGGTGTTGTCACTATGCAAATCTCGTTTAGGCAGCCATATTGTTGAGATTTCATGGGTTCAGCTTTCCTGTCATGTCTGGAAGACACTGTCAGCATCAGGTGTCCTGGTCCTCTGGCTCTTACAATCTTTCTTCCCCTCTTCCATGATGTTCCCTGAGCCTCAGGTGTAGGGTCTGCATTTTAGATGGACCAGTTGGGGTTGGGCACCCCCATGGTCACTTATTTTCTGCAATTTGACCAGTTGTGGATCTCTGTAATAGTCTTCATTTGTTGCAAAAAGAAGCTTCTTTGATGAAGACTGAGCTACCTTTATCTGTGAGAATAAGGATAAATATTTAGAATACAATTAGAAATTATATTGGTTTAGTAAAATAGCAGTAGTAGGTTCTCCTCT